CGTCTTTTGTAGCATGATGAAAAGCATTTTTTAGAGTTTTTAGGCTTAGCCTTTCTAATTCTGGCAGGGGAATGTCCAAGACTTCATAGTACAAAATATTAGAGCTCTATAGAAGGAAAAGCATAATTAGCACCCCCGGGCCACGAAACAGGACGCTTACGAGAGTGAGAGTAAAACAACAGAGGAAGCTCAGTACGATGCCACTTACTTGGTTGTAATGAGTTAACATTTCTGTTAATGCTCTACTCCCTGATATTTTATTGGTTCGAGCTTAGGTTGTTGAGAATAGCAGTTATGTGCAGTGAGTCGGATTTTGGTGGGATTTTCCAAACCAATGTGGTGAGCTAATTTCTCCACCACATCATCATAAGTGTGTAGCTTTGACCTAGAAAACAAGGGAAAAAAAACAGTTACAGCATTAGCACCAAATAATAAAACAAAGATGGACAGTCCAACCATGAGGGACAATGATTAAGTACTTACAATTCTAAACAAAAATCCTCCTCCATCGGTTTCTCCGAAGAATGGAAATGAACAACCTGTATAGCATCAAATCATTCAATATTGTTTGGTTTAACATTTAACAAAATACAATTATAAAAATTAAAAATTAAAAAAAATTAAAAAAAAAAAAAAACATTGACAACAAAGTAAAAGGAGGTGAAAAACCACTAATGGAATAATGAAATCTAATTTAAACTAAAACAGAAAAAGAAAAAAAAATTCCACAGCCTGTACCCGGCGATTGAGCACATAGTCCAAAAATGAAGGAACATCAGGGTATTTACATCCTTCGTCTATTTCAAGCGGAGTAGATTTCTAAAAGCATATAATGTCCCCATCTCCAATCTGGAAAAACAAAGCAACAGATTAACTACCCACAAACCTATAAAAGCGTAAAACTTAAATCTTATAGCAGACACATCTTTACAACATGCCTAGCATGCAATATAGCAACAATTACCAGGCTCGACCGAAACGAGAACATCTTATCAAGGTGTTCGCACATGACAACAGGCTCAAACTTTATTTCCTGAATGTAGGACAAACACGTACATTAGTTTTTGTAGAAGAATGGTACAGCGAAGCATGCATCAAGTTATAAACTTACATATACATTCTACATGTACGTATATATATTAAGTTAAGGACACAGCTGATGCTACAAAATTAATGTGAAACAACCTCATAAATTTCAAGTTCTTCATCAAGGGGAAAACCAGCAAATTGATTCAACTTTGCTAAAATATCTACTGGCTTTGAAGAACTCTTCACGAAAAGCCTGCCAACAAAACTTTAAAAAAAGCAGGATATCTTCCTTGGTTTTTTCAGGAGGAGGAATAGGACGTAGATTCTGGAGAGTTTATACAAGCAAGAACATGTAAGAAATGATATCTTTCATAAAGCAATTGGAACCACAATAAGCCTCAAAACACAGGTCATAACAAGAATAGCAACCCCTAGAATGAGCCAAGTGTCATTGTTGTGGAAAAATTGGTCATATTGCAAGGGACTGCAATAATAAGAAAGGTGCTTAAGGTGTTCAGCAGCTAAATTTTGCAACTCAGGTTCTTCCCACACCAACCATGTTCTATGTAAATAATGCAGTTGACAAAAAGTCTATTGAAGATGTATGGTATGTGGATAGTGGTTGTAGTAACCACATGACTGACAAAGAAGATGTGCTAGTTGATATCGACAGAAGCATAACTGCAAAAGTAGAAATGGGAACTAGATAATTGGTTGATGTTATTGGAAAAGGAAGTTTGGTGGTGGACACTAAGATGGGAATGAGGTATATATCCAAGAAGTAATGCTTGTCTCAGGTCTTAAGGAGAATCTATTAAGTGTAGGGCAGATGATGGAGCATGGATACTTTTTGATTTTTGGAGATAATAAGGCTGAAATTTATGATGACTGCTCTCTTTCTAACTTGGTTGCTAAGGTGCCAATGAGAGGAAACAGAAGTTTTCCTTTGAAACTTCACACAGATTTGCATTTTGCATTAAAAGCAAGTGTGAGTAAGTCAACTTTGATCTAGCATAGAAGAATGGGGCATTTGAATGTCAATAGTTTGAAGCTACTGCAGGAGAAAGAAATGGTGCTTGGATTGCTAGAAATTAAGAACACCAATGAAGTGTGTAAGGGGTGAATTCTTGGGAAACATTGCAGAGATTCTTTTCCAAGAGAGACAACAAGTAAGGCTACTATTCCACTGGTGTTGGTACACACTGATGTTTGTGGACCATTGCAAACTATTACAAAGGCTGGAAATAGGTACTTCCTCACTTTTATAGATGATTGTACTCGGATGTGTTGGGTTTACTTTCTGAGATACAATTATGAGGTGTTCAATGTTTTTAAGAAGTTTAAGGCTACTGTTGAACTTCAAAGTGGGTGTAAGTTGAAGAAACTGAGTAATGATAAAGAATGAGAGTATACATCCATTGAGTTCAACAGGTTCTGTGAAGAAATGGGAATGGAAAGGCAACTCATTATGGCATACTCACCACAGCAGAATGGAGTGGCTGAAAGGAAGAACAGGACCATTGTGGAGATGGCTAAGTGTATGATGTTTGAGAAAAAGATACCACTGGAGTTTTGGGCTGAGGCAGTTAACACTGCAGTATATGTCCTGAATAAGTGTCTAACTAAGGCTTTGGACAAGAAAACTCCATTTGAAGCCTATAGTGGAAGAAAGCTAGGAATTAAGCATTTAAGGGTGTTTGGTTCTCTGTGCTATGCAATAGAGGCAAAAGCTTGACTTATCTAGCACAAGGTGTGAGAAAGGTTACAGGTTGTATAACATTGAATCTGGAAAGGTGATTATATCCAGAGATGTAGTATTCAATGAAGAAGCAAGTTGGGATTAGAGTACATAGAATGAATGTAGGAATTTTTTGGTAAACTTTTGAAAATTAGCTGATAGAGATTTTTACCACCTGCAAAAGTAGGGATAAAAACACTTTAAATACTTGTGATTGTAGTATAGATAGCTCTAGCAAGGTTGTTCTTCACAAGGATTGAATGAATAATTTATATCAAACCAAATCTTAATGAATTACTTAAAACAAAGTTTGAGAAAATGTTGATTTTGTGATTTCAAATAATAAAAACGAATTTAATAGAAAATAATTAAATAAAGTGACAACATAAAATAAACTAAAAGAAAACGGTTTTTAAAATTAAATTGTAAAAGCCTAAAGTTCGCTATTACCTTAACAATCCTATGTAGTTTTTCCAATTACTTATGAATTACATGTGCATATTTTGAAGGTTAGATTTTCCTAATATATGACTACTTGGACCCCCAACATAGAGCGTATATCAAACATGCAACCATAGAAATCTAAACATGCACGACTCATTAAGCTTTGTGAAACCTTTTGAAAAACCATACAACCCTTAAGACGTGGTATTTATCTTAAGTGAACTTGCACATATTAACCACAAGAAGCCTTCGTCAATTTCAGGGACCGACCTCCGACCAAAATTGCATCAAATTACTTTTCTAAAGATCCTAATGGTAGTTAAGCATTAAGACAATTAGATAATTTAAACCGATGATTAATAATTCAAACCTGCATGCATAATATCATAAGTAAATTGAATAAAAATTACATATTCTTGGTAAGGCTCGTGGCCTATCCCTAGCAAACGGAAATTAGTTACTAACAATCATAAACAAAATATATTATTAAACATAAGTATAGAAAACACCTTGAAAATAAACTTGAATCCAAAAGCTCTCTAAGTAGTGCATGTGTTCTCTCCTCTTTACCCCACTCTGTCTTTCCCTCTTTTTTTTTCTTTTTTTTTTAAAAACCCTAATGGCTGAAAAAGCCTTATTTATACTACTAGAAAATAAACCCTACCTAGAAAAGGTCTTAGAATAATACTAACCAAATAAATTAAAATAATTTAAGAAACATAATCCTAATCAAATATGGGAAATCTGCCCAACCACAAATCAGCCACGTGTTTGGACTTCCAGGGCTCCAAAACAGGTCCAAAATGACTTGAATTAAAGCTTAAGATGTCCCGAATATAATTACAGAAGGTCTCAAACCCAAAAGACATCATCTTGGACGTCAAAAAGCCCAAATAAGCCCGAAACGTCAGTTTGACAGCAATGCATGCTGCTCCTTTCTTTCATCGCCATAAATAAACCGCTTGGTAGAAAATTATAAAACTTTGATACGAACAAGTTAACAGACACATGAACGTCCTCCAATTTGAATGACTTCAAAATTCCTCCGTTTCATCATGTTTTGCTCCAAAGGAAGTTGAATGTCCTGCATTAAAAATATATAACAAAGTATCAAAGTTCACACAAAATAGATGAGGGTAAAATATATATTATAATGTCGACTCATCATTAGCCAATTCAGCCCCTCACGTTAGAGCCCGTCTACTTTGCAACCTTGAATTCTGGGGGATCGATTTCATTTTTGTAGCCTTGAATTCAGATCATCATATTTTCGGCTACAAATTCAGAGAGTTTTCGTATCTTTCCTTGTTTTCTCTTCTCCTTGAGTTTCTAGGTCCTTCTCGATAGGATACATCCACGTTTCCTTAGTTTCATCTGTTAATAGCTTCCGGTGCGATATGATGTCTTGCGTGGGTGATTTTTCTTTTAAATTCTAACATTTGAATTTTGTTTTCCCCAGAGAAGTGAATCATTGCCTCCATGGGAGCAGTACCTCGGGTTGGAGCACTCTGATAAAGCTCCGAAGAGGGCTTATGCAGTAACTGAAGCAAGTGCTGCTGTACCCAGCAAAAGGAGAAAAGAGGGTCGCAAGGGGGGACAAGTGCCCTATCCCGTTCCAATCTCTACCGATGCCGTTCCAGCGATCACGGGGAGTTCTCAGCCCCAAGGACCTGCCGGGAATGCAGGCAAGGTAGGTGAAATTCCGGCCGTAAATCTATCTTTACCAACCTCTGAGCCAGGCAAAGCCAACTCTTCCGGAATGAAAGGAAATGAAGTGTCGGGAAAAACTATTATTCTCATTTGATTGAATAATGATTACATCATACGAGACATTAGTTAAGTCCATTTAGATTATGATGAGTTTTTTAGGAAGTTGCAACTTTTATGCTTTGCTGATCTTTATTTCCCTTAAATTATGATGTAATACAAGCATTTGGGCAGACTTGATTGAATTGAAAATATATTTGCTATGGAAACAATTAATACAGATTGCGGAATGACTGTCTGAATACTCCTCTTACTAGTCATTCCTTTGGAATAGCTTACTCTGATTCTAACTAAGAAGCCTGACTAGTTCGATTGCCTAGACTTCAGAGCTATGGACATCCCATTCTTTCTTTGCCACCGAAAATAGTATGTGTCTTGACCTCAAAAAATCATGGTCCCAACAAATCAAAATAAAAGAAAAGGATTTTAAAGTTTCAGTTTTCGTCTCATTCACCCAACTTTCTCCATCTGCAACTCTCTCATTCCCTCTCCCTCTCCCAGTGATTGTGTGATTGTTTGTGTGAGAACAGAAGTTTATTTTGTGACCAAATCAAAACATAGATTTTTATTACCGAAAAAAAAAAACGTTTTGGATATTTTTTTTTATTTTTGAACAAATAATTTTTTTAGTACAAACGATATATTTTACACTAAGGGAAAAGGGAATTCGACTAAGCCACACAATGGGCAACCTAATTTGGTATCGAATTCGTCATCCACGAGATTCGAACCTAAGACCTCTCACTTACAAGTGAAGAGGAATATCATTAGATTATAGTACTAAGTGGCAACATTTCGGATACTTAACCGGTCATTTTTGAAAACCGATATTTGTGCCCTGCCGCTACTCTCTATTAAAAATATGTTCTGAATGAATTTATTCGTAGCACAAATGTTTAAATTTAGGCTTGGTGTACATTTTAGATTTTAGGGTTATACAGACTCTGAACCGCAGACCTACTGATTTCATTATCAAAGTGATTTGAACTATTTCAAAGACCCATTGTGCTTTTTTTTTTTTTTTTTTTGCATTGGGCAGAGTAAGAATCTCATCCTATATAAGAAATACAATTATAATGAGATTACAATATTAATTTTTTGAGAATTTTAATGAAAAGAACTTGGACAAACTTTTTTCTTAACAAAAAACCATGCAAAACTTTTATTTAATGAAAAGTGTTTTAGATTTAGTGAAAATGACCAAAGTAACATACAACATGCTAAAACAATAAGTCCCATGGGCTGAAGCAAAGCCCAACATATAACATCAAATCTATTTTTCAACTTTGCCCCTAAACAGGAGTCAACCAAAATCTG